GGTTCAATTAAACTGGTCCATTGGCAGTGAAAGGCATTAGAAAACCACCTATCCAAACAGATTGGCTGAAACAAGCAGTCAGCAATGCTCTGGCATGTTAGCGGGGTCCTTTCCCCAAGGGAGGACCAGCTAAGCTTTGTATTTCTTTGATAAATTAATATCACACCAGGATTAATTAACCGGGACTTCTAATTAATCTGCTGGTGGCTCTTAAGCATTCAGGTGGCGATTGTTCAGTTGTTAGACCAGCCACTTAATGAGTTAATGAATTAATTGGTGCACCTATTTAATTTATCTGACAATTATTTATGGAGTGCCTAGTATATGCACTACATTGGGTATGGAGGGAGATAAATGAGGATGGTATGACTCGGTTTCTTCCAGAACCTTGTTATGACTGAGATACACAAAAAACGGCAGAGGGGAAAAAAGCTGGATTTGGGGTCCGAGGATCTGAGTCTGAATTTCTGCTCTGTTACTACCTGGGTGACCTCGGACAAGGTCCAGTTTTCTTCCTTGTGAAAGGAGGGAGTTGGCCCTGCATGGCCTCCCACACAGAGGGCCAAGATGAAGCCAGGTCTTCTGGCTTCAAACCCAACCCTCTTTCTGTGCCTAGGTCTGGTATATTTGGGGGACACCTGAGGAAATCCATTGGCCTGGAGTGGGGAGCAGTGAGACCAGCGTGGTGGTGGGGACTGGGAATAGAGAAGGCCCTGCAAGGGGTTCCATATTTGTGCTTGTTACATTCCCAGGGCTTAGCTTGGCACCTGGTAAGCATTTAATCCATTCTGGATTTACTGATTGATTAATGAATTCTGACTGCACAGTTCAAAGGAGAATTTGGAGCAAAGAGAGGAGACCGATTTTTTTTTTAAGGGACAGCACAATTCTGTTCATGACTGATCACGATGTTAAAAGTGCCTTGCAAACCTTCCCACACTTTGCTTTAAGTATCACTTAATATGATGAAGAATAAAATACCCTGGCCATAGATTTACTCCAATTGGAAATAAGGAAGTGAGGGGGCATGCTACATAGAGTGGACAGATAGTGAAGAATTTAGTTCAAATCCTGCCTCAGATATTTACTTAACTGTGTGACTCTAGGCAAGTCATCTAGCCAGCCTCAGTTTTGTTATCTTTTAAATGGGGAAAATAATAGCATCTGCTTTACAGGGTTGTTGTGAGGATCAAATGAAATAATGACCAGAGTGTGTATTTAGTAAATGATTGTTGATTGACTGATGAAGGCAGAGAACCCAACAAAGAGGCAGTTATGGTATATAGTTGAGAGGTTATGAATTAATTTTGTGTGAATGGAATTGAAGAGGAAGGGGAAGAAGAGGAAAACATCTTTGGGGGGATCCAGTCCTGTGATTTCCTGGTTTAGACAACTCCGTGGGGAGGAAGCCCCACCTGCCAATGCAGATCAACAGTTGTTTTATGGTTTACAGTCTTAATGAGTTGTGTGGGGCTTTGAGAGGAAGAGTCAATAGGATCATCAGATCACGGATTCAGGGCTAGCAGAGACTTTCGGGATTATCTGGCTGGATCCTTATTACACAGATCAAGAAATTTAGGGTGAGAGGGACCAGATGGCTTGGCTTTCCCAAAGTCCCACAGAATACAAAAAGGAGTTACGATTCAAACCTAGGGCCTTGATTCCAAATTCAGCATTTTTTTTCCCAGTATGACATAGTGACTTGGCCTCTGAGTTGACATGAAGAATGAAGGAGATGGATGAGTTACAGGTGATTTCAAGGTTCAGTGACTGAGAAGAGTGTAACAATGTTGAGGGAAATAGGAAAAGGAAAGTCGGTTTGGGGGTCAAAGGAGGTGACCCATTTAGTTTGGGACTTGAGTTCTGTGGCATTCATGAGAAATAAAACACGATGCTTATTTGAGATGATGTAGAGTTAGAGATATGAAACTGGACCCCAGATGAGAGGTCTGGGACAGAGATGAAACCTTAAGGTGGAATACAGTGACCCAAAGAAAAGCATAGAATAGAATGCTGAAGATTGAATTTAAAGTAGCATCCTCCATTAGGTGACAAGAGGAGGAAAAGGAGATGACAAGGGATGCAGAGGAGAAATATTCAGAAAGGCTGGAATGGAACGAGGAGAGAACAGTGCCATGGAAACCAAGAGAGGAAGTAGTTTGGAGGGAAGGGGGGTTGATGGTGTCAAATACTGCTGAGATGGCAACGAAGATTGGAGAGCATGGAAACTGGACCTGTGGTTTACCGGCATAGAGAACTCTGAGAGAGCGCCCTCTCCCCATGCAGGTTGGTAGCATTCTTGTAATGCGTGGTCTTCAAGCACTGCCTAGAGCTCTGAGAGCTTAAATTAACAGTTGAGTCACACAGCTGGCATAACTTAGGGCTCGTTGTTTGTTGTCCTTTGTTTACGAGGATGACCGAATGGCATCACTATGAGGGGTCAAGGGACAATGGCTGAAAAGACCAACTTGGGGTATCACCTGACTGCAGGTCTACAAAGAGCACTGGGAAGGCAGCGTGCTGGCCTAGGAAGCCCCCTCCACTTCGAAGTTAGAAGACCCTCCCTCAGGTCTGGCCTCTGACACTAGCTGGGCAACTGGGAGTTAGTCAGCCTTAGGCTGCTCAGCTGGGAGGCAGCTTTGTGGACTGGGCAGCCCCGTAGAAAGGGGAGCTCTGGTTGCTATTCAGAAAGGGGTCAGCTGGGAGCCATCAAAAGAAGCCCTGGGGCATGTATGGAGAAGAAGAAATTGTTCAGCGGTATCAAGCTCAAAAAGAAATGTATCCCTGCTTGCAGTATATTAACTTAGAAAACTACAAGTTAACTTTATCAGTGTCATATTGTAGTTATATTTTGTAAAACATTATCCGATTGTGTTTTAAACTGGTTCAGGCTCTGGGTTTTGCAGGCAGGGCCTTGAGTTTAATAACTTTGATTAAGAAGTTGTAAGAGGCAGTAGGGTGTTGAAGACAGTGGGCTAGCTTTGGAGTCATAAAGACCTGAGTTTAAGTCCAGCCTATGACTCTTCCTAGCTGTATGTCACTTCCTATCTGCATGTCTCAGTGATCCAGGCAACTCTCTCTGACTCTAAATTATAGAGGAGTGGCCAGGCTGCATTGGCACGGATTGATGTCAGGTCTGTACAGGGATACACATATACATACATGACATACAGAAATACATATGTAGCGTGTATATATACATATACATAGAAACATTATATACACTCAAACAAATGAGGCTGCCCCAACATCTCTGTGAGAGAGGACAAGGGAAGTGGGATTGGCCCCAGGCACCAAGAAGACTTCTCTGAGATATGGATAAAACAGACATTGTCGCAGTTTTGTTGTCCCCTTTTTTCTCTCCTTGTCCATTCTGACTTTCCGTCATGAAGCAGGTAGTGCTGGGAGGGTGAGAAATGAACTTTGGGGATTCCTCTGGGAAGTGAAGAGCAGAGACAGTGACATGACCAGCATTGCCCCAATGTTGGTTGAGGACCAGTAGCTACTATGACTTTAGCAGTCTTGTGAGCTGGGGCTAAGAGGAGAGGGAAGAAGGTCACTTTCTTCTTTTACCTGAACCGTGAAACATGAGATAGGTTGGTAGTGAATCTTCCTCCCCCATTCTTTTTTGTTAGCAAACGATGTGCATGCTAGGAAAATATTATCATCTGAATCAAAGGTTGGAGGAGTCAGGTGTGAGGGGAAAGAAATAAATTTTCTTTTGCATTTCTTAATCCAATTTTATGAAAGCTATGTGATCAGACATTGAAGCTTTGAATACTAAAAGAAAAGGCTTCAAGAGAGGGTAATATTCCATTGGGTAGGGGAAATGATTTGAGAATATAAAAAAAGCAAATTTTATATTGTAATATTTGATCAATATTTCATCTTTAGGACTAGATTGGGAGTGTAGGATAATGAGAAGTGGGGGTTTTTTTGGGTTGTTATTTTGTTTTGTTTTGTTTTAGCTACTTCTGAAATGGAATTGGGAGCACTGCCACCACATCTAGAGAGCGACTCAGGCATTTGCAGACTTGAGTGACCTCTAGTGGCTAGTTGTGAAACTGCGGCAAATTAGAGAAATCCTGAGGGTGGATTTCGGTAGAGCACCCCTTGGTGGTTAACTTAGATATTGATCTCTGAGTTAATTCAAACCCTTGATCAGATTTTTACTAGTCACAGCAGGTGAGAAGCCAATATTCCAAGTGAATACCAAAATCAATCCATGTATATATCGGTTATGCTTATGTCTTATAATTTTTGCTATCCTCTGATACCCTTATAGTCTCTTTTTTTCCTTCCTTCCTCCCTTCCTTCCTTCCTTCCTTCCTTCCTTCCTTCTTCCTTCCTGTATATTTCAAAGATTGTGTCCATTTTTATAGTTGATGAGACTGAGGCTCAAAGAAAGTAAAAGGATGGCTTAGAGTCACAAAGCTAGCAAGCATCAGCATCAGGGTTGAAACCCTGGTCTCCTGTAGTCTACTAAAGATGTTTTTGTTAAGTGCCTACTATTTGCAAAACACTTTGCTAAATGTTGGGGATCAAAATGAAGCAGTCCCTGTTCTCAAGGAGCTTACATTCTACTGGTTTCTCCTGCTCCCTGGCACAGCACCATTTCCATTATACCACACTGTTTTTTTAAAAAGTCAAACTCATTCATTTCTGTATTACTGTAGATTTTTAGAATCATTTTAAATTACATTATTATCTTTTCAATAAGCTTTGCTCTTGAAAAACTCCAACCTGCCTTAATTGAAAACTTTTTTTTTACTAACCTGGGTTCATGATCAATTTAATTGGGGGTAGAGGTGGGAATCTGTACCTCTAGAAGCCAAGTATAGTTTGACAGGGACAGATTGGTTCCAAAGTCAGGGGAAAGACTGGAGCAGACAGAATGGGAAGCCAAAAGGGAAAGAATTGTAGACACTCATGGATGCTAACCTCTCCTCACTTCTGCCATTCCCTCATTAGAAGGGAAAGAAGATTCCCAATCAACTCACCACACCAATAGAGAAATAGTTATTGAACACGCAGTGTGGAAGAGGGTCCCCTTTACTGTCCTTGTCTTTGGGGATGATTTCAAGTTGCCACCGATCCAGCATCACCTCGGAACTTTGCTCAATGTCCTTTAGCAGTCTCATCAAATTGCCACCTTCGTAACCTGGGGAGCATTGCATTATATTTGCCATTACAGCAGAAACAATCAACATGTCAGCAAAGACAACAGGTCAGCTGTCAGCATAGACACAGTGAGCTCTCAATACATTATTGGTGATTCAGCAGAGGGGTGCAAATGTTTTGAAGAAAAATATGGCCATGATAAGGATCATGAGACTGATTATACATTTTGATCTAGTCACACCATTTCTAGGTATCTCTCTCCAAAACATCATAAGAAAGGAGAAAAAAAGGAACTAAATAAAAAAAAAATCCATAACTTTTATTTATAATGGCAAAAATTGGCAAACAACCTATATGCCCAACAATTTTAAAATAGTTGAACAAATTATAGTTATATTGACCTAATGGAATCTCATGAGGCTAGAAAATGATAAATATAAAACATTCAAGGAAATAAGGAAAGGCTTACGTGACACGGGGCAGAGAGACCTCAAAAAAAAGTCTGTGTATAGCTATGTAGGAAAGAAAAGGAAAGGAAAGGAAAAGAAAGGAAAGGAAAGGGGAAGTTATAAGTCTAATAGTGGTGGAACTTAGGCCAATTCCAGAAGGGGACATAGAAATTTTTTTTTTTGCTTGCTTTTTGCTGGCTAATTAATTTTGTTCTGAAGAGTTTGGGTTAAGATTTTGATCTCTGTCTTATTTGTTTATTTGATTATTTGTGTTTGATGAACAAGTTGTTCAGCTGATAGTAGGGATAAAAACTGGGTGTGTGATATCATTGAGAGAGAGAGAACTCCTGGGTGAGGATGCTCCTTCCACCAATGCAGTTGGCCCCTCCTCTGCATCTTAGGATCTTAGAGGGTTCATTGAGACAGTGAGAGATGAATGACCTACTAAGGGTCATACAGTCTTTTTGGTGGTAAGTCTAGCTCTCTATTGTGCTGTCTCAGTTTATAACCATTAACAATGATTATTATTATAATCATAGCAGATGCAGAGCTGAGCTGTGAGTCAGGAAGACTTGCAGTAAAGCCCTGCCTCTACCACTTTGTGTCTGTGTGATCTTGAGCAAGTTATTTAGCCTTTCAGACCCCCAGGCAACTCTTTAAGACCATAAGTTACAGAGAAAGTGCCAATTCACATTGGTAAGTACAGAAATTCCTTAGGGCAACTAGGTAGAGCTACAGTGCATAGAGCACTAGACTTGGAATCAGGAAGACTCATCTTCCTGAGTTCAAATCTGGCCTCAGACACTACCTAGCTGTGTGACCCTGGGCAAGTCACTTAAACCTGTTGGCCTCAGTTTCTTCATCAGTAAAATGAGCTGGAGAAGGAAAAGGAAAACCACTCCAGTATCTCTGCCAAGAAAATCCCAAATGTGATCATGAAGAGTCAGACATGACTGAAAATGACTGAATAGTAACAATAAAAATGCTCTCAAGTCAACACTTTTAGGCATGGGCACTGTGTCCAGGGTGGCTACCTGTTATGGGCCTCAGGGGCTATCTGAACACACATGGCCTTGCTGTACACACTGTCTCTCAGGACCTTGGTAATTTGTCTGGTGATGAGTATGAGGGCATGCAACCAGTGAGTGCACCATCAATGTCAGTCAACAAGCATTTATTAAGTGCCTACTGTGTGCCAGGCACTGTGCAAAGTGTTGGGTATATAAAGAAAGACAAAAGACATTTCCTGCTCTTGAGGAGCTCATATTTTAATTGGGGCAGGGGCTAAAATGCAAACAAGTACATATCTATAGGATACAAACAGCGGGAAGTAATCAGGACGAACCTTTCTCATCTTCTACTTACTTGTCCCTCTTACTCATTCAACATGACTTAGGACTATCTCTGTATGTGCAACAGCTTATGTACTGTGGCTTCCCTGTCTTCCTTCAAGACTCAGCTCAGGCTCCACTTTCTACATGAAGTCTTTCCTGACTGCCTTTCTTGCCCTCCCTACCCAGATGCTCATGCTCTCCTTCCCCAACAAATATGTATTTATTCCATTTACTGTTTTATAGCTAAGCATGGTCTCCACTGTTGGCATGTAAGCTCCTCGAGGTCAGGTCCTGTTTTACTTTTGTTTCCTTAGTAGCTAGCACAGTGCCTGACACCATGCTTGATGACTATCAATCCATCCATCAACAAACGTTTATTAAGCAACTATTACGTGCCAAGCACTGTGCTAGACTCTGGGAATGCAAAGAAGGGCAAAAGCACTGAACCTATTCTTAGTGTGCTCAAATTCTAATGGGAGGGGGGAGTCAAGATGGAAATACTAAGGAACATAAAAGATAACCACAGAGTAGATTGAAGGCAATCTTAAAGAAGTATGGAGGGGTGTGTGTGTGTGTGTGTGTGTGTGTGTGTGTGTGTGTGTGTGTGTGTGTGTTGTGTGTGGACTGGAAAGGGTCTCCTGAAGAAGGTGGGATTTGAAGTGAGTCTTGCAGAAAGCCGGGGAGGCAGAAGGAGTCAGGAGATGGAATACCTCATGTGAGGAACAGCATCGAGGCCAGTGAATATGTGCAGGGAGGGAAGTGAAAGAGAGAAGCAGGGAGGGACAAGGTCATTACTGGCTTTAAATGCCTGACAAAGGACTTGATTTTTGATTTTGGAGGTATAGGGAGCCCCTGGATTTTATTGAGTTGGTGGGTGACATCGTCAGACCTGCACTTTAGTGAAGTTCCTTTGGTTTCTCTGTGGAGGTACAGATTGAATTGGAGATGGGGGAGCCTTGAGGCAGGGAGAACCTTCAGCAGGCTATTGTAGTAGCACAGGTGAGAGGTGATGAAGGCCTGTACCAGGCTAGTGCCTGTGTGAGGGGAGAACTGATGTACCTGAGAGGTGTTGGGAAGATAGAAGTGATATGATTTGGCAACATAATGGATATATGGGGTAAGTGAGAGAGAGGAGTAGAGGATGCCAAAAGTACTACTAGAGCTTTGCTCCAGGGCACCATATTTAGTAGATGGTGAATTTTGAGGGCTCTGACAGTCTTTGCCCATTCTTTTTAACCCCTTTTCCTTTTTCTCTTTTTTCCCCACTTAATATTTGCCTATTCTTTAGCAACATAGAAATAAGAGAGCATAGCATCTATTTAGCATTAAAATTTAGTTAAAAGAAGAAGAGGTCAGTTCAGGACCAAGGTCAGCTCTGATCTGCCCCACCTAGAGGCTAAGTAGCCAGCAGTGACCTAGCATGCATACCCTGGTATCTGTCCTTGGTCCTGTCACATAGCTTCACCTGAGCTTACACCTGTGTGTCCCTTGCTCTTGAAGAGGCTTGGGTCACTTGCTACCTATGTGACAGTTTCTGGTTAGAGTTCTAGGGATGTATCTGATGCCCTGACTCGACTGAAAATTCCCTGAAGGCAGGGGTTGTGCCCTCTCTAGATTTCATATCTCGCTTGGTGCCTGGGGTAGTGCTCACAGTGCACATAGGAGGCACTAATAGAATGCCGATTGAATAGAATGGAATCGATGGTAAAAATCACCTGCCACCATGGATCCCACAGGAAGACAATGACATGGGCTTTGAATTCACTGGTGGGGGGAAGGAGTTAGGAAGGGCGGACCCACTTTCACACATAATAGGAGCTCTCCATGATACGAGTCCTGTCGTAAATGAGAACATTCTGCCCTACTTCAGTGAGGCAGTGTGGTTCAATGGGAGGACACTAGACATAGAGTGAGGAAGATATGGGTTTAAATCCCACATCAGCTATTTACTGAAACTTTTTGAGCAGGGGATAGTGATGGGTATGGCATTTTCTACTGAGGAGTCATCTTCTACTTCTCCCTCTTTTGACCCTTCCAATATCCAAGCAGTTGCCAACTTTTGTCATTTCCACTTCCTCTTGTATCCAGTCCCTTTTCTCTATTTACACTACTCTAGTCCAGGCCCTTCCCACTCCTTGCCTCAACTTTTCCCAATAGCCTCTGAAGTGGTCTTTGCACACCCAGTCTCTTCCCTCTCCAATCTGTCTTCTATACAACTGTCAAATTGATCTTTCTACAGTTCAGGTCACTCTCTTGTTCAACAAGTTTCAGTAGCTTCTCATTGCCCTCACGGTAAAATGCAAACTCTTCTTTGACACTGAAAGCCCATCACAGTCTAGCTCCAGTCTGTCTTTCCAGGCTGATTAGAAATCCTTCCCCTTGTGCCTTCTACCAAACTGTGCTATTTCTTCCAGTATGTGATGTTCTATATCCCACGTGCATTTGTACAGGCTCTCAGCATTCCTGGAATGTGCTCTTTTTCTCTTGGTGCACTGTGCTCAACACTGCAGGACCATTTCCTCTCCCTGGAATACCTAGCTCTCTTCAAGGCTAAATTCAAGGGACACTTTCCTTAAGTGACAGGCCCTTCCTGGTCCCCCCAGTTGTTAGTGCCCCAACTTCAATCACTGCTTATATCCCTTCAAGCCCTTTGAGGGTAGGGACTTCTTTTTTTAAACTTCATTAGCACAGTGACTGGATCACAGAGGGGGGTTTAATAAATGCTTGTGGATAGTTAATTTTTGCCAATTATCATTATTACTAATCATTAATAATAAAACTATCAACCATTAAACATTAATGCATAATACCAGGATAGCAACTTGTTTCAGGATCATCTTTATCTGAGTTCCATTGAACATAAAGATAAGAAAAACAAAATAATGATGATGGTAGTAACAATAATAATGATAACAACAATTATAAAAATAATAGTGAGGAGGGTCCCTCCCCCACCCCAGCCCTATGATTCTGTTTAAATATGTGCTCAAGGCAATTTTCTATGCTATCTTCATAAATGCAATGAGGCTAGACCCTGGTCCCCAGGGATAGATCCCTAATGGGAATAAAACCTCACCTCTTCCCCAACGGAGACACCTGGAAAGGTCATTTCCTGTTCCAAGAGGCAGGATTGCCACTTTTGGATGTTTGACAAAATTAATTTTATCTGTAATCCAAGGAACAAAAGGCATTCATCAGGTTTGGCCAGTGGATGCAACCCCATGAATCACTGGTTCTTACCAGCGACAGGCTCTTAATTCATGTTACCAGTGAGAGCTAACTAAGCTAACATGGGAGCTAACTTAGTACAAAAAGTAGAAACAGTGGGTTCTGGATTCCCGCAGCTACTCTAACAGATGGTCCAAGTCAGAAATCCTCTCTTATTTCCTTTTAGTTTGTAGATTTCTGGTAAAATTCTCTCTATTTGGATGGGAAGCCTGTTAGAATGGTCAGTGAAGATAATGACCAATTATGAAAAGAGCAATGCTGTCTGCTTTTTGGCTCCTGGGGGAAGGAGACACTAGAATGGCCTCTCAGCTAAAACCCCAAAGTTGGCTTAGCCACCAGCCATTGGCTGCCATGAAAACCTTCCTCATGGGATATCCACCTGCCTCCATCGTGCTGCTGGTGGACTCACAGAACTTCCAAGTTAGAAGGGACCTCAGGGCTGGTGAGTCTAGCTGTTTTCTGATCCTCCTCTGTATCAGACCTGATAACTGGTCATCCGTTTCCATTGTAAGAGCTTCAGTGAAGGGGGAGCCCATTCTCTCTCAAAGCTGCCCAATCTATCTTTTACAAGCTCTAATTCTGGAGAAATTGTTCTGATTTGGAGCTGAAGAAGAGGTAGCAAGGCACAATGGGTATAGAGCTGGTATGGGAGTCAGAAAAGTCTATGTTCAAATCTTGCCCCTACACATGCTAGGCAAGGCTCAGGGCTTTAGGTATCTCTAAGACTCTAAGTCACAGAATAGTTGTTGATTATATTGGTAGAGGGAGTTTCTCTATTGGGACTTTCATTTATTTTTGTGACCCCACTCAACATTTATGGGCCACAGTTTCCTTCTCTGTAGAAGGGGGGATTGGGGAGGTTTCTAAGGTCTCTTATCCAGCAGTGGAAAGGTTTTAAACCTGGGGGTACACGGACCCCTTGACAGACATCAGGGTATCTGTGAACTTGGATGGAAAAACAATTACATATTTATTTCAATATGATAGGCTTCCTTTGTAATTCTCTATATTTTATTGTGTATGTAATCTATGTATTTTATCATTTTAAAACATGATTCTGAGAAGTGGTCCACAGTCTTCACCAAATGGATGCCCAAGGGATCCAGAACACACAAAAAAGGCTAAGGACCCAAGCTCTAGATCTATGGTCCAGTGAGGCCTTCCTGGAGGTGGCTGGTTCCCCGAGTCCATCCTTTTCCAAGTTCCAGACACCTTCTGTGTGGCCTCTTGGGAAGCCAGCCTTCCCTTTCTAGTTCTAGTCTGCTTCTCTAACCAGGACAGGCAACTATTCTTTTTTTATTTACAAATGTGAGCTATGATTATATTAGTAATGGAAGGAATGTGTAGTCCATGCTGGGTTTTTCCTGTTCTTTCTTCAAATACTGACCACCCTCTACTCATCACCATCCCCTTTTTCCAGGCTCTGTTACTTACCGATACAATCCAGTACCCAACCTATAGTCCCATCTCCTCCACAAACAAGCACACGGAAATTTGGCACGCCACGGAAAAAATTCAATCTGGGAAGAATAAGGAAAGTCAAAACAGGCTGGTTTACTAGACAATTCTCAGTGTGATGCTGGGTGATCCAGGTGAAAACTTCCTCTCCCCAAATCCCCCAAAGCATTTCCTGGGATGAAGGAAGGAACTTGGAAGAAACTGAAGGTACCTAACCTTTTAGACTGGGGTGAGGGGTGAGGGGTGCATTTTGTAGCCCACAGTCAGCTTGATTAAATGGTGCTTTTATGAATTATAAAATCCTGAGGGAGCCTCTTAAATGTAAGAAGCATCTTGCAGTGATTCCAGACACGTAAGGGTACCATTCTTTCCCTCTGCTCTGATGTCTAGGCTGCCGGCCTTCCCTCTCACTTTATCCTGCAGTGGAAAACACTGAACTAACTGGCTGGCTCTAATCCAGCACAGGGAGTTTTTGACTTCATTATCCTCTTTTTGTATCTCCAGCACTCAGCACAGTGCCTGGGACATATCAGGTGCTTAATAAATGTCTGGGCAGGTAGGTGGTTCTGCAGTGGATAGAGCGCCCAGCCTGGAGTCAGGAAGACTCGAATTCAAATCCAACCTTAGATACTTACTAATTGTGTGACCTTGGGCAATTCACTTAACCCAATTTGCTTCAGTTTCCTCATCTATAAAATGAGCTGGAGAAGGAAATGGCAAACTACTCCACTATCTTTGCCAAGAAAACCCCAGATGGGGTCATGGAGAGTCAGATGTGAATGAAAATGACTAAACAACACAATAAATATTTATTGACTGAATGTGTGGTGTTGGCAGCTGGGCTTACCTTCTGTAAGAATGGGATTGAGGTAGTGTGGTGCAGTGGGCAGAACACTGGCACTGGACTCAGAGGCCCTGAGGTCAAAACTCACCTTAGGTGCTCACTACCATTCTATGACTTAGGGCAAGTGGCTTATTTTCCCTGGGCCCAGCTTTCTAACCAGTCAGCAAACATGTCAGAAGCACCTTCTGTGTGCCCGGCACAAAGACACAATTGAAGCAGTCCTGCTGTCATGTAGGTCACATTCTATTTCATTGGTAAAAAGAAGGGATGCGTGTGAAGACACTCCACCATTACATAAGCTTCAGTGGCAACAATACCCTTTATCTGTGGCAACAGAGCATGTCTCAGTTAAAGAAGGGAAATAATAAAAATTCTTTCAGCATTATTCTGTGAGACTTCTGCTATTGTCAGAAGAACCGTTGCCTTCTGGATCTAGGGGCCTCAGAGACCTTATGCATCTCCACTTCCTTAGGAGCCTGAAGACCCGGGCGTTAGCACCTACTCAAAGGTGAGGTCACTTTGAGCAATTTTCTTCTCCCTGCCCTGATATTTCAGTTTCCTGACTGGCCAAACAGGGGTAGGAAGTCCTGCTCTACCTCCCACCACCCAAGATGGCTTTGAGAGTAAATAAGGCCATTGATGTAAAACCTTTATAAACCATGAAATGCTATTCATTTGCAAGCTGCAGCCTTGAAGGGCAGTGTTCCATAGTGGTTAGAGAGCTGGCCTCAGAGTGAGCAAGATCTGGTTGAGTTCATGGCCCACCTTGGCCATATCCTGGCTGTGTGCCCCTGCATAAGTCTGCCTCTCGGTGCCCAGGTGAATCGCTAACACCATTAATTGTGGAGAAATTGGCCACCTGCATTGGAAGAGGGGCTTCCTCCCTGGGAGTGTGCTAAACTGTAATGAAATCACAGGTCTAGTCTGTCCCTGAGTTATTATTCGCATGCTGTTTTTGAAGTCCTTTTGCTGGTGCTCTTGGAACTGCTGAACCCAGAGTGGAGAGGATTTATACGACTTCAGATACAACTTTTGATATTACTACCTGGACAATCTTTGGCAACTCACTTACCTTTTCTGGGCCTCCCTTTTCTCATCTGCAGAATGAAGGGGTTGGACCAGAATGCATCTCTGAGGCCTCCCCCAGCTCTAGATCTAAGATCCTATGAAGTTAAATATGTCAGAACACAGGACCACATATCGGGATTCCATTCTGTCCAGCAAGTGTTTTTATTAAGTGGCTGCCATTGCCAGGCTCTGCCTAGTTGCTGGGGGCCCTGAGTGTCTACTTTCTGTTCTGCATCGAGCCATCCCAAGATACCTGCGAGCAGGCAGACTCACAAAAACACCTGCTCTAGGTCCTGGCCAGTAGATGTCCCCACTATACTGGCCTTGGCCTCCTATAATGTAACAAGGCCTCAAGCAACATCGCTGACATCTGTCAGTAGCCAACATGTCAGACAGCATGGCGGCCTTGGAGCTCATGTGGCTAAAGCTGCTGGGAAATGCCGAGGGAAAGCAAACTGTCCTCACATTGAAACTGTTGTCCATTCTCCACCATCACCTCATCCTGGGCTATTGCAAAAGCTGCTGCTGGGTCTGTCAATCATTGTCCAGTCTTCATTCAGTTGCCAAAGCCAATTTTCTTAAAGTGCACGTCTCATACAGTACCTGGTACATAGTAGGGGCTTAATAAAGCATCATTGACTGATCATCATAACTTACATATACATATATATGAGTATGTGTGTGTATGTATATATATATATATACATATATATGTATATATGCACATATATATCCATCTATCTTTAAAGTTTGCAGAATGTTTTACATGTATTATCTCTTTGACCCTCACGATAACCTTGTGCAGAAGGTGCTATTATTATTCCCATTTTACAGATTAGTAAACTGAGGCTTAGAGAAGTTAGATGACTCATCACAGGGTCAGACAGATGTGTTTATGTCTCAGTGTCTCCTGTGCGATTAGGACCCAGGGCTTCCTGACCCCAAGGCCAGAGCTCTGTTCACTATAACACACCATCTCTTGCTATGTGGCCCCCTGTGCCTCTGGTAGGTTGAAACATGTGTATCCCATTCCTGACTAGGGCTGCTGGCCTCTGTCCCAGGTGGGTGTGTCCTGTCCTTCATATAACTGGGAAAATGGGGTTTCCCCTGTGGATAAGCACTGGCTCTCAGATCAGTCTTTCCTTGGAGCCTTGTCTAAGGCACAGCATTCTGAGGGTCTCTCCTTACTTTCCTCTATAGGGAATTAAAATAGGGAGAGAGGCATCAGCTAGGACACATTTTTTGATAACCCCTCTGCTCATGGGGAGAACAGTACACAAATCCCACAGATTTAGACCCTCATTTTAGTTACTGTAGTAACTTCTAGCTCATCCCCTGAGCCATGACCTTGGAATTTGGAGACCTTGGTTTAAAATCCCACCTCTAAGTCATGTGATGTTGGGTAAGCGCCTCAGTTTCATCATCTTTAAGATAAGGGAGTTTGGCTAGACAGCCTCCAAAGTCCCTTCCAGCCCCACATCTAGGGCCCTGTCAACATATAATCCCCACAAACCTCTACATAACACAAAAAGATTGAAGGAAAGTTTCCTTCCTTGCTTTGCTTCAGGTCAAAGCATTGACAAAGAATGAAAGTCAGGAAGGAGATGGTGGGGGAATAAGGGACTTGAAAACTGGACAATCTCCTAGAATAAGGAGGAGGTAATTATACTGCATGTGACTAATTACCCTGCTACCTAATTTTGCATATTTACTTAGGTACAACATGTAGAATATGAGCCAATAGGTAAGGGGGCCTATATTTCCTTTCCCCATGATTCTCATGATTCATTGGGAAGATGTCAGTTAACACAGCCTTGAACATAAGCTCAAGGAATTTACCAGCCCGCCTTGATTGTCGATCAAGAAAATGACAACAGCAATTTCCCCTCACCCATATGACTATTACTTTGCCTTGGCCAGAAGCCAGGAGGCTACTTCCAAAAATGAGTTAGCCAATAACAAATGTTCCTGAGCACCTCCAGAAATAAAATGGAAACTGAGGGGTTTGTGAAGAAAGGGATAGGAAGGGAGAAGAATAGGAGGGAAAGATGAAGTGAAAGGGAAGGATGGAATACTAGAAAATGGCTTATTATGGGATGGAAAGAGGAAAGAACTTGATAAGCATCAGAAGAGGATGGCATCTTCATACCCTGGAATAGGCCCCCATTGCTCCAGGTTGTAAACTTGTCTGGGGTTGAGCAGATATTGGAATTTCCGAAGGAGTCTATAGAAACAAAAAGAAGGGAGAGAAAAGCAGAAACAGAAAGGAAATGTCATTGGGAGCAGTTCTAGCAGACAAATGACCTCAACAGTCCACTTCTAAACTACATGGTGAGGAGAAGGGACAGGACGGACCAAAGTCCATGGCAAGTTCTAGAGCCCTGACCTTCTCAAGTGGAAGAGGGCTGCATCGCCATTCCAAGAAACAATTGGAATGATTGATGACCTTATGACTTGAAGGTTCTCTTTTCAGCCAAGAACAAAAGAGGTCATCGGCAAATAAAGAGTATGGAGTCCCCATTCTGTTAGAGCCTCTTCTTCCCTGGAGGTCTTGTTTATACATTAGGTGCTGTGACTTCCCATCATGGCCTTCATAGCACGGGAGCAGGCTTTGGATCAGGAGAGTATGTAGGAATGAGGAGGGAGGGTCAGGCTGAGGGTTGTTGGTGAGGACTGAGGTGGAAAGTACCAATTCTCAGGTTGTTCCTAAGGCTGGAGTTCAAGGGTCATGGAACCCCAGATGAGTCCCTACATGAACTGGGAGGGACCTCCCCAGAACCTTCCCTGTTTGTTCCAGCTTGCTTCCATTTTTTTTTCACATAGTCTTGAAACTTAACTCCTGGTGTCTATACCACAACTACCTCTGCCTCCAAACATGGCAATATCTGTGACCAGCAACGAAAAACTACTTAAAAATACTGATTCTCTTTCATGCTCTGCCCAGCAGCTTCTAAAAAGATGTCCAGATGGACTCTTACTGATGAGACGAACACCTGGTCTTCTCAAAGCTGGAATGTCTCATGAAGTTAGTGTGGCTAAGATTTCTTTTCTCAGCATTTTCTCACTCTTCACATCCCTTATCGCTATGGACCAATTTTTGACTCCACCTGGTCCCAAGACTATGGCTTCTATTACAAGAAGAGCTCTGCCTAAACTCACAAGATCACTCCTCCTCTTAGCTCTTCTATACAGTTTGGGCAAGAAAGGTGTCAAAAGGTGGGAGAGGGGATCAGGTGCTTCTGTAATTTCTACTAATATAAGAAGTCTACTGTAAAAGGAAATTCAAGGATGGCTGCTTGCCAGGCCCTTCTTCTTTGAATAATGATGATAATAATAATAATTAATAATAATATTAATACATACCTTTCTCCTTGTCTTCCCCCACTTTTAGGATTGAGCAGGACAAGCAGGGGGTGTGTGTCCTTTGGTGGAACAATCTGAAATACACAGGGCAAGAAAACTTACAGAATCACAGAATTCTGGAGGTGACACGGACCTCTGAGTTGAGAATCTAGTTTACATCTTTCTGTCCGTCCCTTTGCTTGGGGACATCAATATACACATGAACATCTTCTCAAACACTTTGGCCAGTTTATTAACCACCTCAACTCGTAGTCAGATTCAGAGCTGGGAGGGACCTCTTACTACTGATTTTACAGATAAGAAAATGGAGGCCAAAATAGAAGGGAAGTGGCTTGTCTAAGGTCACACAAGTAGCAAATGTCAGAGGCCCGCTTTGAGCCAATCCAGAGCCCTCATACTACACTGTGACCTAGACCTTCACACCACCTTAGGCACCTGCACTTGCTCGCTCTCTCTCCTCTCTCTCTCTCTTCTCTCTCTCTGTCTCTCTTTCTCTCTCTCCTCTCTTCTCTCTCTCTCTGTCTCTCTTCTCTCTCTTAGTCTCTCTCTCTCTGTCCTCTCTCCTCTCTTCTCTTTCTCTCTCTGTCTCTCTCTCTCTGTCCTCTCTCTCCTCTCTTCTCTCTCTCTCTCTCTCTCTCTCTCTCTCTCTCTCTCTCTCTCTCCTCTCTCTCTGTCTCTGTCCTCTCTCTCTCTCTGCCTCTCCTCCCCTCTCTCCTCATTCCTACATCACCAGCTGCCTGCTAGACCTCTCCACTAGAATGCTTCCTTAGTATCTCAAACTTGGTATGTTCAGAATGGGATTAATTATACCTCCCCCCAAATCTTCCATATTTCTAGTTTTTGTTCAACCTCAGACAAGTTTACAACCTAGGCTATGTGCGTGTGTGTGTGTGTGTGTGTGTGTGTGTGTGTGTGTGTGTGTGCATTTCAGGGGATGAAGACATAATCCTCCTCTGCTGTTTATTAAGTTTTCTTTTCTTTTTCCTATCCCATCACAAGTTTTCTTGTGCTGCCCGTTCCTTATCCTTCCCTTCCATTTTTTCTCCCTTCCTCTCCTTTTCTTTATGAACCTCTCCTGTTTCTCCTTCCTCATTGTGGAGATGCTTGGGGTCACTTGTTACTGGCTAACTCAGCTTTGGTGGTAGCCTCCTGGCTCCTACCAGAGGTGAAGGAGCGGCAATGTGGGTGGGAAGAGTTGCTGTCCTTCACCTGATTGATGGGCAAGGCAGGCCAGTACATTCTTTGAGCTTATTTTCATGGCTATGTTAACTGGTGTCTTCCCAATGAATTGTGAGGGGCACAGGAAAAGGAAATGGAATTGCCTTGCATTGGTTGGCCTGCATTTAAGAACCAAATTCTACAATGTTGTGCCCAGGAAAAGAAGGAGAGTCAGGTAGCAGGGTGACTACTCACATGCAATGACATGGCCTCATCCTTATCCCATTAGTTTCCAGGTAAGACATTGCTCAGGCCCCCCTGTTCCTCCCTGACACTGCTTCATAGTTCTCAGTGCTTGTCAACACCTCAGCCAGAAAGCTGAGCAGAAGCAGACACAATGCGGGAAGTGCCATGAGCCCTCGTGCTCTGTGATAGATTCTTAGTGGGGTGTGTTGAGAGATAAGCTAGGTGTGCTACAGTAACTAAGTGAGGCTGTTTTTCCTGCTTCCACCAGCAGACTGCTTACTAAGAAAGATAAGCCATCTGATGCCTCTCTCCCTCTTCTGATTCCCAGGGCTGGCCGGTAAGGGCAGAGCCTCAGAATGCTGCGGCTTAGACGAGAGCAAAGGAAAGACTGATCTGGCCAGAAGGTTACGTGATTTCTGAGAGTCACAGAATCTCAGATGGGGCAGTGACCTCTGGGCCGTCTGGTCCAAGCAGCTGCTGATTTCGAATCCTTTCTATGAAAACCCTGAAGACTGACCCTGCAGATGCTGCTTGGAGATCCCAACTGAGCAGATGAACCGCTATCAGGCATGTGCTGCAGCCAGCTCCTTACAAGCTTGGGAGAGCTGATCGTAAAATTCTCACTGAGAACATTTACATCTGAAAAATGGTCAGGGCTTGAGTTAGTGTTTTGTCAATTATCTCAACTTTAAGGGAGATGTCAATGATGCAGGTCAAACTGAAAAGTGTGTCAGGCAAACTTTTTTTTGAGGGCCAGTTAAACATTTCCCAGGATACTCTTGTCTGCTCCAGACTGAGACAGCCCATTCTAGTGGTCCAGAGTCTTATTCTTCGAAGTTTCTCTTTAAATCTCACTTCGGTAAGCTTTTCCATCACTTCTATTCATTGGTCTGAGTGCTGCTCAAACAAAAGAAGGCACTGAATCCCTCTACCACCAGGCCTTCCTTGGAATGCTTGAAGATAGCTAACATGGCCTCCCAAAGGCTTCCCTGCTCCAGGCTAAACATCTTCATTTCCTTCAGTGGATCTTTGGGGGGCACGGTCCTCTCATTACCATCCTTCTCAGTCTTACTCTGGACCATCTACAGTTTGTCCTGTCCCTCCTTATGTAGGGCACTGCCAGAAGAACACAATGTCTCACATATTGCTCGACCAGGGAGAATCCCCGGGGAATGGTTCCCTCCCCTTCCCACATTCTATACACTAGGGACAGGATATGAGGCCTCTTATTGCTGTCTAAACGGCCCTAGGTCTGGAATCAGAAGAGGCTCTGCTGCTCTAGCTGGCTTCCTTCAGGAAAGAGGATTGGAGCAGGCAACCTCGGAGGTCCTTTCTAGCTCAGGTCTATAGTCCTATGAGTCTTGCCAGAGGACCTGAGTTTGAATCCTGCCTCTTCCAATGAATTATCTGTGTAGCCTTTGGTAAGCCTCTTCATATCTCTGGGCCTCAGTTTCCTCTTTTGTAAAGAGGGGGTAAGATGGCCTCTGAGGTCCCTTCACATCTATGATGTTATCCTAATTTTTTTTTGGGGGGTCCAGCATATCACACTCTGGAATCCCATTTTATCTCATTGCATGCCCAGAGCTTGGGTTTAGATTTTTGCAATCCAACTTTTAGGTATCCCTGCTTGGCTGCCCATGGAAGGACCAGATATGACTCTTCTTAGGAAAAGGAAGTCGAGACACTTGAGTTCCAGTGACTTTGTTATATAATGGTGGGCCAAGTCCGGGAAGAGGTACATTAATATCCAGTCCTTGCAAGGGCCATGTTTATAAGCTTGCATTTCTCTAGTGATTTAAAAGTTGTAAAACGTATATGAGTTTATTTGATATTCACAACCACCTTGGGAGTTAAGTGCCATTATTTCCACTTTACAGATGAGGAAACTGAGGTCAAGAGAGGCTAATCAATTCTTCAGGGTCACAGAGCTAGCAAGTGTCTGAGGTTTATGGACTTTAGAAAGTATGGCAATCAATGGTAAATAAAAGATTCCAGGCAAACTCCTGTACCTGTAATCCATGTCCATCCATCATTGAGGGGTTTATCTCCAAGAGAGAAATCTTTTGGGAATAGCTTTTAGAATATTCACTCTCCTCTTCTTTGACCTTAGAGAAAAGTGGGGGGAAAAGGCCAACCATATTTTAGACCCAAGACAGCTAGTACAAAGAAACATTCTATGGTATGCGAAGGAACTTTCCCAAAGTGAGGCCTTTGGCCTAAATAAGTTTACTCCTCAGACCTCTCCCACTGCAAGCTGCCACCTCAGCTTGTAGGTATTGGTTGTAGTCCAGAGATTGATGAAAAACAAATGAAAAAGGAGATATCCCCCAGGAGAATGCAAGGTTCTTGAGGTCAGTTTTTGTCCTTTTATCCCCAAGGTCCATATTCTCCCCCCAAAAGCCCTCTACCCCAGAATATAAACTCCTCCAGGGTAGGGATTGTCTCAATTTTAAAATTTGTATTCTCAGAGTGTGGCACAGTGCCTGGCACTTAGTAGATGTTTAATAAGTGTTTATCAATGGACTTGCTCTGAGAGTCTTTTCAAAGACAAATGCCACAGTGCTTCACATCTGACTGCCATTTTTCCTATTATGTTGATCATGTCTTTGTTGTCTTGCTAATGGACTGGAAATAGAAAGGACACTCTTGGGAAAACACTGGGGACTCAGGAGACTTAAGCTGTCTCCTGATGGGCTCAGCGCAGGACAAGGCGCATTCACATCCAGGCTTGGAGAATGGATCCTTGAGGGTTGTGTTTAGATATAAGAAGGTCAGTAATGGAGAAACAATGGAAAATGCAGAGCAAGAAGCTGTACCTGAAGCGAGTTCTTCACTGGGCTCATGGATTTCTTGGTGCCGTTGGGTTTCTGTAAAGATTTTTTCTCAGACATTTTTTCTTCCTTTGTGAAAAGAAAAAAAAAGTTAGCCAAATCTTAATCAATCAATAAGTATCTATTAACTTATTATGTGCCAGCCACTGTGCTAAATGCTGGAGATACAAAGAAAAAAAATGAATCAATTTCTGCCCTTGAGGAACTTCCATTCCAACAGAGGAGATGACATGAACATATATGGTAGTGGTAGAAGAATTCCTGTGTTGTCAGGAAATATACTCCCCCTTACTCATCAATTCAATTTTGAGCCCCCCACTGATGCAGCTTCATTTACAATAGACACTTACAATGATAATTCTTTTAGGTCTTAAACAAAACCATTCACTTGGCAATAAGACCAAAGAAGTAATATCACAGATATTCATATTAAAGCAAGTGCATGAATACTAAAGTACATCACAATCTTCATATAAATAGGTCATTCTTTCCCACCAATTAACATAGTATCTGTGAGGGAGAGGTAGGACACAGGTATAAAAACCTGTCCAGGAGGCCTAGGAGTGGAGAAAACTCTGCCATTGTAAACTTTGATATCTTTTTTCTGTCTTAGGAACTGTTCATAAAAATTTCTTGATGGACATAGCTTCTGTGTTGAACGGATGTTTCCCCTGTTAACCTTAGCTGATCCACACAGTGCTTGGCTAACATTTCATTGGAACAATATCTCATCCAAAGCATCTGATTCACTGAGTAACTTCTATGATTCTCTGCTTCCAAGATATTTCTTGGCTCAACTGGACTCACTCTTCAACAGCAACTGCTCTATCCATCACTTCCAGTTTCAAATTTAATTGTGGGGGTTGGAAACCGGTCCTTTCATACCTCCCTCCTTCCCTCTCTCCCTTTCTCTATCTGTCTGCCTGTCTGATCTATCTGGGTTCAGACTCTGAGTCTTCTTTGCAAATGACTCCCTCCCCCCCTTAGCTTATGTTAATGACCAAATTCTCATATGTCTAGAATCAGATACACTACATTTCTCTCATTTCATAGAATAGTGCTGGTGTCGCATTCAGAATGAACAATTGTTTCAGAACATTGACTCAGAATAACTGTTTCTCTTAGAGCTCTGAGCAGATTTAGCTCAGCAGCAAACTGGTCCATACGAAAGGGTGGTACATTAAGAGTAAGGTGCCTTTTACTTTAGAACAACTCATTTGATTCTACCATCCTTGTTAATTCTCACACACATTAACTTCACTGTAAAGTACTTTGTTTTTTCTCTCTCTCTGCTCTCTGTCTCTCCTCTCTGTCTCTCTCTGTACCTCTCTCCCTTTCTTCTCTGTTTCTTTCTCTCCTCTCTGTCTGTCTCCCTTGTCTCTGTTTCTCTGCTCTTCTCTCTCTCTTTTTCTCTCTCTCACACACCCTATATAAACAGACATCTAATGTTTTCTATCATCTCTCTTTCAAGCTATCATTCAGTCTTTGCATAATGACCTTAAGTAAGGGAGGGGTGAAGGACTCATCCCACTTTGGGAAGGCTGCTCCTTCATGAGTTTTCCCGACATTCAGGTTGGATCCATTTCTCTGCCTCTCCCACTGATGGCTCCTATTTCTGCCCTATTGGGCCCATCAGAGTAAGTAAAATCCATCTTCCAAAGAGCCTTCCTCCACATTGATGAGGACAGCTATGAGGTCCCTTCTGAATCAGCTCTTCTCTTGTCTCATCCCATGTTCTTCCATGCTCCTTCATGTTCCTTGACACATCACCATCCACCCCATCCTCCTCTGGTGGGTCTCCTGGTAGTCAAAGTACTTGCTTAAATATGGCATCCAAACTGAACCCAATGCTCCTAAGATGTGGTCTGAGGAGGTCAGAGGGCAGACAGCAGGTCTACCGTCTCCCTCTTTCAAGATGCCACCTCCTTTTAGATGCAACCTAGACCTATGAGAGGCATGGCATATGGTATATTTTCTGCAAGAGTCTAGAAGATCCAGGTTCAAGTTCTGTAGGTGAAAATAACTGTGTGATCCTGGACAAGTCACTTAACCTCTACGAGGTGTAGTGGATAGTGCTAGGCCTGGAGTCAGGAAGCCCTGAGTTCAAAGCCAGCCTCAGGCTATCTCTGGACCCTTAGCAAGTCATTTAATCTCTGTTTGACTCAGTTTCCTAAATTATAGAATAGAGACAATAATAACACTTGCTTCACATGGGTGTTGTGAGAATCAAATGACCTAATATTTTTAAAGTGCTTAGCAGAGTGCCTAGCACATAGTAGGTACTTAATTAATGCTTGTTTCTTTCTACTTCCTTTCTCACTTAATCTCAGGGTATCCCAAGAAACAAACTCTCTAAGAATATTCAGTTGCACCACAGGAGCTGATCTTCATGGGTGGAGGGCATTTCCTTATTGGAAGTCCCGCACCCCGATTAAAACAAAGGTTTGGTTCCATCTGAGGTCCTACTAGGTTTTCTGCTTGCCCTACAACACAGTTGATTCATGCTGCCCTCTCTGCAGCCCAGGATTTTGTATACCTTCTGAGTTGTCAATGGAAGGGCAAAATCATCAGCACTTTAGAGAAAATGCAAGCAGCTTGGGAGACCTAAGCATCTCCAAGGGGGCCCAGGTCAGGGATCTAAGGAGTATATTATCATCTGGGCTTTGGGAGTGAATTACTGGATGAGGTTGGGTGATATCACAAAGCAGCTGAATGAATTAAAAACAGAAGATCCTGGGCAAACCACCTTACCTCTAGTTGTCTGCATCTGGGTTTGTGGAATCTGGTTTTACATCAGTTGTGGATTTTTCAGGGCTAGGCCCAGCTGGAGAGACTATGGTGGATGCAATCTCAGGGGCTTCCTTCTCCTTTGAAAAAGGAAAGAAAAAATCAATAACATTAGCAAGGGATTCCTTTGGCCACACATTTATTTAGAAAGCCATAAATGAAGATTAGAGATGTTTTATTTATTTTTTTCTGTTATTCTGTTACAGTTTTCTTCTTTTAAAATTTTTTTTGCATATTTTATTAATTTATTTTGATTTATCAACAATCACTACCATATGCTTTTGAGTTTAAAATTTTTCTCCCCCTTCCTCTCCACCTCCCTCCCCAAAACTGTGCACAACCTGATATAGGCTATATGTTTACATTCCTATTAAACAAATTTTCACATTAGTGAAGTTGTAAGTAAAAATTAAACCAATAGGAGGAACCATCAGAAAGAGGAAACAAAACTCAACAGAAGAGAAAAAAAAGATAGTGATTCAACTTTCACAGTTATGATTACTTCTGTGTCTTTTTCTCCATCCTTTTTTCCCCATTTATGCTTTTCTTTCTCCTTTCTCCCTTCCTTCCCCACCAGTACTTTGCTTTTGACCACTGCCTCCTTCAGTCTCTCTTCCCTTCTATTTTCCTCCTCCCCACTTCTTCCCTTCACCCTCACTGCTTCTTCCCTCCCTTCCATCCCCCCTCCCTTTTCTTTCCCTTTTTCCCTCCTACTGCCCATAGGGCAAGTTAGATTTCCATACCTAACTGATTATGTTATTCCTTCTTGAGCCAAATCTGATGAGAGCAAGGTTCAAACAATGCTCACCCCCTCCCTTCTTTCCCTCTGCTGTAATAGGATTTTCTGTCTTTTCCTGTAATGTAATTTACCCTTGTCTGCCTCCTCCTTTCTCAGTACATTTTCTAAGATCAGACTAATCCACTTACTTGGATCCATTTAACCCACTTGATTAGATTTTTTTTTATCATTACATCAAAGTCAACTAATATCCACCCCCTTTATGTATACTCCTTTAACATGGTGTAATAACAAAACAATTCTCAAGAGTTGCAAGTGTCATCTTCCCTTGTAGGGATGTAAACAGTTTGCCCTTATTAATAACATTTTGTATCTTTCTGTCCCATTTACCTTTTTATGTCTTTCTTGAATCTTGGACTTGAAGATCAAATTTTTTGTTGAGCTCTAGTCTTTTTATGAGGAAGGTTTGGAAGTCCCCAATTTCATTAAATATCCATCTTCTCCCTTGAAAAATTGTGCTCACTTCTGCAGGGTAGTTGATTCTTGGCTGCAATCCAAGCTTTCTTGCCTTATGGAATATCATGTTCCACGCCCTGCAAGGTCCTGTGTAATCCTGACTCTGGTTCCATGATATTTAAATTGTTTCTTTCTGCCTGCTTGTAGCACCTTCTCTTTCATCTGGTAATTTTGGAATTTTGCTGTTATATTCCTTGGCATTGTCAATTTGGGATCTCTTTCAGGTGGTAAGTGGTGGATTCTTTCTATGGTTATTTTACCTTCTGGTTCTAGGACTTCAGGGCAGTTTTCCTTTATGATTTCCTGAAAGATACTGTACAGGCTCTTTTTTTCATCATGATTTTCAGGTAGTCCAATGTTTTTAAATTGTCTCTCCTGGATCGATTTTCCAGGTAGTTGTTTTACGATGAGGTATTTTAGTTTTCATCATTTTTTTCATTTTTTTGTTTCTGTTTGACTGATTCTTGCTCTCTCATAGAGTCATTAGTTTCCATTTGTCCAATTCTAGTTTTTAACAGATTGTTTTCTTCTGTTAGTTTTTGTACTTCCTTCTTCAATTGGCCAATTGTATTTTTAAGGGATTTGTTTTCTTCAGTGTACTTTTTTTCCAGTTTGCCAATTGTGTTTTTTAGGGACTTGTTTTCTTCAGTGTACTTTTTTTCCAATTGGCCAATTGTATTTTTTAAGGACTCTTCTACCTCTCTCATTAGACTTTTAAAATCCTTCTTGAGCTCTTCTAAGAAGGCTTTTTGGGCTTCAGACCAGTTCATATTCCCTTTTGATGTTGCAGATGTGGGTTTATTGACAAAGTTGTCCTTTTCAGAATTTCTGTCTTGATCTTCACTCTTCTCATAATATGAATCTATGGTATGTTTCTTTTTACTCATGGTTTCTTTATTCCCTGGTCTTTAAAGAGATTTAGCTCTCCTGCTGGGGAACAGAGGGCACTGACCCAAGCTTCTTGTGTTGGGACCCTAGGTCTTGGTCACTGGCTTTGTGTGCTGGGGCCTCTTATGTTGGCAATTGGAGGCTGTAGGGTTTTGGCAGCTTACCTCGTGTTGGGCTGGAATCAGCAAGGCTGGAACTTTCAGGCAATTCTAGGTTGCCTGCTTTTCCTTTCCTTTAGCTTTCTTCAGCTCCTTTTATATGGGTGTTGCAGGATGTTTATCTGCCTGGGGCCCCTTGCAATGCTGCCTCCCTTGTTTCTGCTAATGCACTGGGAGATTCCTTTGCGGTAGAGTGCCGAGGCATGTGGTGTTTTCCTGAGCTGGTTTCCACCAGTTCCCCCACCCTCACTGAGGCACTCAGAGGTCCAGGTGTTTGTGTTTGCCTGCTCTACCACCTAGGCTTCAGGATCTCTTCCTGGTTGACAGTTGGGGGTTCTGACAGCTTACCTGGTGTTGGGCTGGAATCAGCAAGGCTCGGACTTTATGAAGACTTTAGGTTGCTTTCTTCAGCTCTTTTCAGATAAATGCTGTAGGGTACTTATCCGCCTGGGGGACCCTTGTAGTGCTGTTTCCCTTATTTTTGCTGAGGCACTGAGAGACCCATTTGCGGGGCTGCTGCACTGCTAGTCCCCATCTTTCTTCCAGTTCAGATGTTCCAGGGATTTTTTCTGGGGTGATATTTTCTGGGTTTTCAGAGGTTTATAGGGACGAGTGAGAGCGACTACCTTTTTACTCCGCCATCTTGGCTCCCAGATGTTTTATTTTGTTAAAAATTCTCATTTATATTTTAATCTTCACTGGGAGTGAAGGCCCATGGGTTTGAGTTTGACATTGCTGTTCCTTGATTACAAACATTTAATTCAGATGAAGGAAGAGAAGAGAAGAGAGAGAGGGAGGGAGGGAGGGAGAGAACAAGCAGAATAGGTGCTGATCTTCATGGGTGGAGGGCATTTCTTCATTGGGAGTCCCTCATACCAATATAAAAACAGATCTGGTACCATCTTAAGATCCCATAGGGTTTTCTGCTTGCCATGAAGCAATGTTGACTCATTTCAATCTCTCTCTCTCTCTCTCTCTCTCTCTCTCTCTCTCTCTCTCTCTCTCTCTCTCTCTCTCCCTGTCCCTCACCAGCCCACAGTTACATATACTCTAGCCTGACATCCCTTGTTTATAGAGGAGCAGAGCAGGGAGCTTAAGTAAGTTTCTCAAGGTCACACAGCTAGTGAGTTACCAAGGTAAGATTTGAGCCCAGGAAAACTGAATAGCCTTGTGATAGAAATTAAGACTAGCACCTCTCCATTTACTAAGATAAGCTCCAAATGGATACATGGACTTGATATCATAACTAAATTAAAGGAGAAATCACCTGAAGGATCTATGCATGGAAGAAGATTTCATGACTAAACAAACATCAGAGAGGATGACACAAGATAAAATGGATAATTTTATTACCCAAAATTTAAAAGTTTTTGCAAATAAATAAATAAATCTAATGTAGTTAAACTTAGAAGAGAAATAAATGGAATGAGAAAAATCTTTGTCAAGTTCTCTGATTAAGGCCCCATTTCTAAGATATTTAAGTAATCCGTTAAAATTTATAAAACCAAATTTCATCCCCCAATAGATAAATGGTCAAAGAATATATGCACAGGAAGTTTTCAAATCCATGTTATCAACAGCCATATGAATAAATGCTCTAAGCTGCCAATAGAGAAATGCAAATTAAACCAACTTTGAAGTTCTATCTCATGCCCCTAGACAAAGAAGACAAAAGAGGAAAACACCAAATGTTGGAAGTGCTGTGGGGAAACAGGTCCACTAGTGCACTGTTGGTAGAGATGAGAATTGGTCCAGCCATTCTGGAAAGCAATATGGAACTATTCCCAGAATGTTAACACACTATCCATCCCCTTTGACCCAGCTATGTCGCTTCTTGGCTTATACCTCAAAGAAGATATCCAAAAATATTTATAGGACTGTTATACTGGGGAATGGCTAAACAAATTTTGGTAGGTGAATGTAATTCTCTTAATATATTATATTAATATTGTTATAATATTCCATTACAAAAATATATTACTATAATAATATCATTATATCATAAGAAATGATAAAATGGACAACTTCAGAGGAAACTAAGAAGATGCCTATGAACTCAAATAGAATGAAGTTAGCAGAACTACGTGAACAATTTGTAAAATAATAACAATATTATGGGGAAAAACAACTTTGAAAGACTTTAAACTCTGATCAATGTAATGATAAACCACATGTCCAAAAGACTGAAGATGGAACTCGCCATTCATCTGCGAGTGATGATAAAATTAAAATACAGATAGAGACATACATTTTCAGAAATGGTGAATGTGGGTATTTGTTTTACTGGACTGTGGATGTTTATACTGAGGGTTTTTGTGACCTCTCTCTCTCTCTCTCTCACCTCTCTCTCTGCCTCCTGTCCCCCCTCCCTCCTCCACTCACTCCCCCCAACAAAGTCTCTATCTCTGTCTTTCTCTTCTCTTTGTTCAGTGAGGAAAGTGAGGAAAATATGTACAGACAAATGTAGTTGATGTAAAACAAAAGATAATCATGAAAATTTACTTTAAAAAGAGAAAAAGAAAAGATGGGCAACAAATTACAAGTGGGAGCTTCAGAGCAAAGTATTGTACCTTTAATTCAATTGCATCCTTGGTTAAAAAACTGAGTTCGACCTGATTTATGGCACTGTCAGAGCTTGAATCAACTGAAGGGATGTTGGTGGAAGTGATTTCTTCTTCTTTCTTCTCCTTCGAGGAAAAACAGAGATTAAAAAGGACCATAAATACAGAATACAATAAATATTATCAG